TCTAGCAGGGCATCAACACCTTCTCCTGGGGTTCTTGCCAGGGTGATAAACAGAGTACTACGTCTATGTTAGTAAACACTGTCCTACTATGTTTTACCTCTACCCCTAATCTAGCACTCTTCGAATTAAGCCATGAAGACACTCTCTCAGCTGCTGAGGTCATGATGGCTGGGTTCTGCAGAACCTTCAGAGGATATAACGCTTCTTTCTTAGCAGGCCCCAAATTTCCCTGTTCATTTTTATTATAGCTTTAATTATCGATCTCATGGCTGAGAGGGAAGTTGGGGATAGACTTTCAGGGAGCATGTATGTGGTATTGAAGGGCACAAGCCTCTTTTTTTTTTTAATAGCTTATTGTCAAGTTGGTTTACATATTAACACCCAGTGTTCATCCCAACAAGTGCCCTCCCCCATGCCCATCACCCCCCTTCCCCTCTCCCCCACCCCCATCAGCCCTCAGTTTGTTCTCAGCATTCAAGAGTCTCTCATCGTTTGCCTCCCTCCCTCTCCCCAACTATTTTTCCCTTCTTCTCCCTCATGATCCTCCGTTAGCTTCCTCCTAATCCACCTCTATGTGCAAACATATGGTATCTGTCCTTCTCTGCCTGACTTATTTCGCTCAGCATAACACCCTCTAGTTCCATCCATGTTGCTACACATGGCCAGATTTCATTCTTTCTCATTGCCATGTAGTATTCCATTCTATAAATATACCACATCTTTTTGACTCATTCATCAGTTGATGGACACTTAGGTTCTTTCCACGTTTTGGCTATTGTGGAGAGTGCTGCTATGAACACTGGGGTCCATGTGCCCCTATGCATCAGCACTCCTGTATCCCTTGGGTAAATTCCTAGCAGTGCTACTGCTGGGTCATAGGGGAGTTCTATTGTTAATTTTTTGAGGAACCTTCATACTGTTTTCCAGAGGGGTTGCACCAGTTTACATTCCCACCAGCAGTGTAGGAGGGGGGCACAAGCCTATTAATCATCTTCAAGCCAGAGGAAAGCCCTAGTTCTTAAGGAGTGAGCCTCTGAAGTTCAGAGGGTTTGAGGGAATCAGGGGCATCAAAATCTGAATGTATCAACCTTGATGCCATCTCTCAGGTTCCCATTTTTTCCCAGCCAGAGTCCTGACTTTACATGACAGACTTGGCTAGGTTGCCAATTTAACCTTCTTGAACTCCGCTGTTGTTACAAATTACATCATGGGTCTGGTCCTCAGCTTTTTCTACCCTTTCACTGCAGAAGAGGGTTTCTTAATACAAGCATAACCGTCTTACTGTGCTTCACCTTCTTGCAATTTGCAGGTATTGTTTTTTTTAGAAATTAGCTTGTGGCAACGCTGCATTGAACAAGTCTATCGGCACCATTTTTTCAACAGCATTTGCTCACTTTGTATCACTGTGTCACATTTTGGTAATTCTCACAATATTTCTTTCATTGTTATCTTTGTTAGGATGGTCTGTGAGCAGCAATCTTTGATGTTAGTATTGTAATTGTCTTCGAGTATCATGAATTGCACCTATATAAGATGACAAACTTAAATACATGTATTCTGACTACTCCACCAATCACTATTCGCCGTCTCTCTCTCTCCTATTCCCTGAAACACAGCAGTATTGAAATGAGGCCAATTGATAACCCTACAATGGCCTCTAAGTGTTCAAGTGAAAGGAGGAATCAGCCACACATCTCTCACTTGAAATCAAAAGCTAGAAATGACTAAGCTTAGTGAGGAAGGCACAAAGGCGTGTCAAAAGCCAAAATAGGCTGAAAGCTAGGCCTCTTGCACCAAACAGCCGAGTAGTAAAGGGCAAGTTCTTGAAGGAAGTGAAAAGTGGTACTCAGTGAACACACGAATGATAAGAAAACAAAATCGCTTTATACCCATATGGACAAAGTTTGAGTGGTCTGGATAGAAGATGAAACCAGACTCAACATTCTCTTAAGCTGAAACCTAATCCAGAGCAATGCCCTAATTCTCTTCAGTTCTATGAAGGCTGAAAGAGATGAAGAAGCTACAGAAGAAAAGTTTGAAGCTACCAGAGGTTGATTCATGAGGTTTAAGGGAAGAAGCCTTCTCCATAACGTGAAAGTGCAAGGTAAGGCAGCAAGTGCTGGTATAGAAGCTGCAGCAGGTTTTTCAGAAGATCCAGCTAAGATCATTTATGAAGGTCAATAACAAATTTCCAGTATAGACAAAACAGCCCGTTGGAAGAAGACGCCATCTAGGACTTTCATAGCTAAAGACAAGCCAGTGCCTGGCTTCAAAGCTTCAAAGCACTGATTGACTCTCTTGCTAAAGGCCAGTGGAGCTGGTGACTTTTAAGTTGAGCCAGGGCTCATTTACCATTCCAAAAATCCTAGGGCCCTTAAGAATCATGTTAAATCTACTCTGTCTATGCTCTAAAGAATGGAACAAAGCCTGGATGACGGCACATCTGTTGACAACATGGTTTATGGAACATTTTAAGATCACTGATGAGAACTACTGCTTAGAAAAAAAGATTTCTTTCAAACTGTTACTGTTCATTGACTGTGCACCCAAGAGCTCTGAAGGAGAAGTACAAGGAGATTAAGGTTATTTTCATGCCTGCAAAATGGCAACATCCATTCCACAGTCCTGGGTCTGGGAGTCATTGAGACTTGCAAGTCTTATTATTTAAAGAAATATATTTCCTAGTATCTATATTTCTGTCATACATAGTGATTTCTCTGATGAATCTGGGCAGAGTAAATGGAAAAGGTTTGGGAAAGGATTTACCATTCTAGGTTCCATTAAGAACATTTGTGATTCTGGGGCGCCTGGGTGGCTTAGTCGGTTAAGCGTCCGACTTTCGCTTAGGTCATGATCTCGCGGTTCATGGGTTCGAGCCCTGCGTCAGGCTCTGTGCTAACTGCCAGCTCGGAGCCTGGAGCCTGTTTCAGTCTGTGACTCCCTCTCTCTCTGACCCTCCCCTGCTCACGCTGTCTCTCTCTCTCTCTCTCTCCTAGAAAAAAAAAAAAAAAAAAAAATTTGTGATTCATGGGAAGTGGTCAAATAACATGAACAGGAATGTGGCAGAAGTTGATTCCAGCCTTCATGGATGACTTCATGGGGTTCAAGGCTTGAGTGGAGGAAGTAACTGCTGATGTGGTGGAAATAGCAAGAGAACTAGAATTAGAAGTAGAGACTGAAAGGGGTGTCTGGGTAGCTCAGTCGGTTCAGCTCAAGTCATGAACTTGTGGTTTGTGAGTTCAAGCCCCGTGTCAGCTCAGAGCCTGGAGCCTGCTTTGGATTCTGTGTTTCCCTTCCTCTCTGTCCCTCTTCCTCTTGCACTGTGTCTCTCACTCAAAAATAAACAAAGATTAAAAATAAAATTTTAAAGAAGTGGAGACTGAAAAAAAAAGTGGAGCCTGAAGATGTGACTGCATGGCTGCAACATCATGATAAAGCTGAACAGATAAGGGGTTGCCCTTTATGGACGAGCAAAGAAAATGGTTTCTGGAGACAGAATCTACTCCTGGTGAGGATGCTTGAAATGACAGCAAAGCTTTTGGAATATTATATAAACTTAGCTGATAAAGCAGGTGCAGGGTTCGAGAGGATTGACTCCAATTTTGAAAGAAGTTCTACTGTGGACAAAATGCTATCCATCAGCATCACAGGCTACAGAGAAATCACCCATGGAAGGAAGAGTCAATCAATGTGGAAACCTCAATGCTGTCTTATTTTAAAAAATTGCTGGAGTCACCCCAGCCTTCAGCAACCACCACCCTGATGAGTCAGCAGCCATCAACATCAAGACACGTCGCTCCACTAACAAAAAGATTATGACTCACTGAGAGATGATGGTTAGCATTTTTTAGCAATAAAGTATTTTTAAATTGAGGTATGTCCATTGGTTTTTTAATACATAATGCTATAGCGTACTTAATAGACTACAGTAGAGCGTAAATATAACTTTTATATGGAATGGGAAACGAAAACATTCGTTTGACTCACTTTATTGCAAGACTCCCTTTATTGTGGTTGTCCGGAGCTGACCTGCAATGTCTCTAAGGTATGCCCAGATGCTGCGAAGGTAGCCCATTTGTTTTCACATGTAGCCTTTAATTAATCATCCTTGGGGGTTCCTGGGTGGCTCAATCGGTTAAGCGTCTGACTTCAGCTCAGGTCATGAACTCATGGTTCGTGAGTTTGAGTCCCGCATCGGGCTCTGTGACGACAGCTCAGAGCCTGGAGCCTGCTTTGGATTCTGTGTCTCCCTCTCTCTCTGCCCCTCCCCTGCTCACACTCTCTCTCTCTCAAAAATAAATAAACATTAAAAATTTTAAAAACAAATGAATCATCCTTGGTCTTTCATGGTCTGTTTTAAAATTATAATTGCTTCTAGCAATAGCCATCCAATACTATTGTCTTTATAATTACCACTTCCTCCTATTTCTCGATGCCCAGTACACTACGCCCTAGCACCCACAGGTCATCATCAGTGAAAGCTTTAATAATTCCAGTGCTGTCCTGTCCCTGTGCTGCATCTCTGGCCAGAGACGGGGTCCTCATTGCCAGTCAGGCAGCAGGTGATCTAGGCCCCAACTCCCATTTCAGCGTCTGCTTTCTACTGCTCCTGGCACCAACTGTCACCAGCTGGACCCTCCATGTAGCGATGCAGAAAGTTGCTAAGGGAGCACTCTCAGGATAGATACCCGAAAGGAGGGTGGAGGGATGCAAGACTAAATAAAGGAAGAACAGGATTCATGACGATGCTGACAATCTTTTCAGAACTCAGGGGAACTGAGATGGGAACAGCCCTCAGGAAGAAGAGGTGCTTGGACAAGAATAAACTCGCCCTACCACAGTTGTTTTCTTCATCTGCTCGTTACTAGGATTTGATTACAAAATTAGCTCTGTAAAATAATCTTACTGATATTTTGTTGGTAAGACTTCTAGAAACATCCGAGCACACATGATTATTTCTTAATTTATCTATTACAACAGGAGATCCCAAACAGCTTAACTCATTGATTATAGTTCTGCTTTAATAGAGTAACATTTGAAAATACACCAATATCTAGGGGAAAAAAAAAAAAGGAAAGCAGTAGGAAGTATTGGGAGCACAGTTGTGCTTTAGTTCGGGTCTAATTGTAACAGCAAAGGTACTGTCTCAGCAAACACCACCCACCAGCTCTCCCAGCACATCCAGTGGTAACATGGGAGCAGATACTTCACAGGGGACTTGTCAATTACCCACCCTATAAATTCACCCAGTGTCTCATCTGGATTTTTCATAAGAAAAGAGGCGGATCTATAATTCACAATCAGTGTCAGGTTTCTGAAGACTTGGGTGTGAAATATTACCTGTCAATTTGCTTCTCAGACTGAATTTTTTAAAAACAGGTTAACTTATCCTTTAAAGCAATTTTCTAGACGTAGGCAGTCTAGGTAATTTCATAGTGATGTTGGTTGAATATGATACAAATGGAATGCAGGTATTTTCCAGGACAATAGAATAGATGAAGGAAGCTTGAAGAATTCGTGAAGAAAAAAGGTCTAAGCTTTTCGTTCAGATGTTTCTAAGTTTCTATAAAACTTTTTTATTCCAGAATTGATCATTTAACTCTGGTACATAAAACATACTGAATTCATTGCCTGGCACCAAAATGGGAAACCCTCTCTTTTACATAATGAAATCCTCTTCTGGTCCATCTTGGCCCAAGTCCTGGTTGTCTGAGGGCAGATTTCTCTGGAGAGGCCTAAAGTTGTAATAAAAAGCATTGTTTTCATCTACTGGTTGGTATTCCTGTTCAATTTCAGTGAGGAAGCCACTTCCAGAGCCACTTCCGGAGCCGGAGCCGGAGCCGGAGCCGGAGCCGGAGCCAGAGCCAGATCCAAAATAGTCCTCAGAAAGAGGGAAGACATCATTCAAGTTCTGGGATCCTGACATTCTGAAGTAAGACAGAAAAATGGGAAAAGGAAACAACAACAGTAAAATTTGAGACCTAAGAAAGGTAATCATAATACATTTGTAAGACAGAAAATTAATGCAGCCACCAAGGTGCTCAAATTAAAAGTTAAACATTTCCCAGTTATTCAATACTTTAAATAAAAAAAAAAATCAATCAGACCTTTCTACATGTTTGCCTAGACTTAACTCACTGCATTTATCAATCAACACGTACACATTGCAGACTCATGGAAGCAATGCTAATTTTCTTATGACTAGCATAGCAATCCTATATTTGGTAAATTAAGAGGTCATTTATTTTAAAAAAAGATCTCTTTTCCCATTTTATTCCGTTAAAGAAAGCACAAACAAGTAAGTCAGCCTAGATAGATGACATTTTCCCCAAATTTAAAATTTCTACAAAACTTCTAATAATTCACAGTGCTTCAACACAACTTCTTAAGAAATTCTTTGCAGTAAGTTAAGCATTATGTTTGCTACCATATTAACATTCAATTTCCTCTCAAACAGTAAATGTATTAGGGCGCCTGAGTGGCTCAGTAGGTGAAGTGTCTTGATTTTGATTTGACTCTTGATTTTGGCTCAGGTCACGATTTCACGGTTCGTGAGATCAAGCTCTGCATCGGTCCCAGTGCTGACAGCACAGAGCCTGCTTGGGATTCTCTCTGTCCCACTCTCTCTGCCACTTCCCCACTTGTGTTCTCTTCTCTTTCTGCCTCAAAATAAATAAGTAAACTTAAAAAAAAATGTAAATACATTCATTCAGCTGGGTTCAGTTTGGTGGTTTAGAAGTCCACTCAGCACCAAAAGACCAGAGCCATGTTGATACTACCCCTCAGTGGTGCAACAACACAACTAAATATCAGAGACAAAAAATGCATTTCATAGTCTATGGGTCATTTTTTCCATGAAGATAATGAACCACAGGCCATGCAACAGATTAGAGTGTCATGCATGCATGCCTTCAGTAAATATTGAACATCTGATCCCTATTCTAAGTGCCTAGGAAAGAATGGGGACAAACAGATTAGGTCCCTCCTCAAGAAATTCATAACTTATTGGGGAAGACAGACAATGAAAAGTGAATAAATCAGGAAACTAAGGTGATGCTAAATGCTATGCAGAGAAGTGAAATAGACTAATGCACGAGAGGGTGACCAGGTAGCTAGTTTAGACTGTGGGATCAGGAAAAAGGGATCAGAACCGGAAACAGAGAAAGCACATGCACGAGCACAAACACACACACACACACACACACACACACACACACACACAATATCAAAGCATGGAACGATGAGGTCACCTAAGGAAAGCATGCAGATAGAGAAGAGGCCCAGCACGCAGTCAGGGCCACACCAACACCTTAAATATTGAACAGAGGAGAAAGAACAGTCAAGGAAGTAGAAGAAAACTCAAGATAAGGTGGGGCCATGGAAGTCCAGAGAAGAAAGTATTTCCAGGGTAGGGGGTGAGGGTTAACTGTTTTGAAGGCAATTAAGAAGTTGAGAAAGCCAAACAGAGAAATAAACAGTGGATGTGTTAGCCAGGAGTAACTGGGACTTTAACAAGCATTCTGAGAGGAAGGTAGGAATAAACGGAAGTCCAAACAGAAGGGATAGAGGGATGGGGAGACAGGAAGCATCCTTTCCAGTAAGTGTTGCCATGAAGAGGAGCAGAGAACAGGGCAACAGCTGGACAGGGCGGCGAGTCAAAGAAGGGATTCTGGCTAACCGCCCGAGATGCAAGAGAAGGAGAACGTCCGCATACTGACAACAAAACGCTGGTCTCAGAGGAGTAACTGCAGACCGTAAGTCCTAGAAAAGGCGTGTAGAAATAGGATCCCCAGAACAAGGAGGAGTGGCCCTAAAAGGTGCCATAGTCCAATCAGGAAACTCATCTAAATATTTAACGCAGGAAACTACTTAGCATGTGTGATGGAAGAGAAGCGAAACCAGAAAGGGGCTAGTGAGGAAAACCCAGAGATGGGAGAAAAAGATACTTCTCTCCCTGGGCTAAAGGGACAGTGGGAGGAAGTGGGGTTACTTGAGCCCAATTACTAGGGGCGTCTGGTGGGAGCTGAAGTCATGGAGGACACACAGTCCCGCCAGGGGTGCCACTCAAGGCAGGGACTGAGGAGAAGAAACATCCTGGTCTCTCCCTGCCTCGCGTGCTCTCTGGTCTCCCTTCTGTGCCTTCCACTGTCCGAACTGAGCCGCAGAGCAGGGAGCCTGGGAGATGCAGACCACGGGATGAGCGCTCACCCCCTACTCAGTACAGAGAAGGAATCGGAAAGGAGAAAGAACGGAGAGGAGGGCAGATGGGCCCAGGACTAACACAGAGGCAAGGACTGTTCACTCATAAGTGTCGGGAGTGTCAGAGTGAGATGGGAGATTTCCCAGCTGAGGAAAGATCATAGAGAGGAAAAGATGTAAGATAGTCGTTTTAGAGAACTTGGGTTATTCGTCTAACATTTTAGATTTAAATGAATTACTGTGGAAACTCCGGAGTAAAAAATAACGGAGGATGCTACAAAATCAATGTCAAGCTTAATGCCGTGGACTCAAAGTAGAGGCGCATGAGCAGGATTGCAGAGCAGCATTTTGAGGATGGGGACAGTGATGATGTAATCTCCTAAGCAAAGAGTGCCAGCAACGAAGAGGGTCACCAGGACCCCTGGGGTGATGATGGCCTCACCTGATTTGGGCATGATGACTTCCTGGCTTTTTAAAAAATATTTTTAAAATGTTCTATTTATTTGAGAGAGAGAGAGAGAGTATGAGCAGGGGAGGGTCAGAGAGAGAGGGAGATACAGAATCTAAAGCAGGCTCCAGGCTCTGAGCTGTCAGCACAGAGCCCAACGCGGGGTTTGAACCCATGAACCATGAGCTCATGACCTGAACCGAAGTTGGACACTTAACTGACTGAGCCACCTAGGCGCCCCTCCCCAGCTTTGAAGAGAGTAATTTTCTAGGATTAATCTTCAAAATCTAAAGATTAAAGCTTTATGATAATCCTTTTCATAATACATTTTTTGCCACATGTTATAGGACTTTGATATTCACTGAAACAATGGATTCTAGGACAATTCCATTTTTTTTACTTATGAATTCCTATTGGATCTTTTTTGCAAGTTTAAAGTAGGCTTTATTTCATCAAGAAGAGGTTTGGCTTTGGCTTCGATAAACCATGGCCATTTATTCTTCCTTTCCCTAATTTCTTTTTTCAACACTACTATTTAATCTCTGAACATTTTTATCACCCCTCAAAACTCTCATGCCTATTAGCAATCATTCTGTATTCCTCCCTCTCCTTCAGCCTCCAGTGACCACTCATTCATTTTCCACCTCTATAGATCTGCCTATTCTGGACATTTCATATGAATAGAATTGTGTAATATATGGTTTTTCGTGTCTGGTTTCTTTCACTTTGCATAATGTTTTCAGGATTCATCTACGTGATCACATACTTTGTCCCTTCTGTTGGCCAAATAATAGTCCACTCTAGGGATATCCTGCATTTTGCTTATGCACGCAGTTGACAGACTCCTACTGGATTTTAATGCATAACCTGCTCTATTTACATAAATAGAATAATGCTCAATCATTTCTGATACTTGTTGGTGAAAAGTGGTCGATTTTTGTCTCTGCTGCCACAAAAAGACCTTGCCAAAGTACGGATGAATCGTGCACTCTTGCACATCTCACATGCCAGCAAATACAGTAGACAGCTTTACCATGTGCTGTGCGGTGGAAACCAAGCTACCAAGGTGAGAGCCTGAAGGAAAACACATTGGACAGCCCTCCCTTCTCCAACCCAAGATCTCAGTGCGACTTGGTGACAGTAAAATCAGAGGAAGTTCACTTACGAAGAAGCGTCGGTCCTTGGAGGGAAGATTCTGTTGGTTTCGTCTGGGAGTAGGTTGAATACTGGTCCTTTTTCATCAATGCAGTTTGCAGAATTACTGTCAGGACTGCAGCGGACCCACTGGTACCTGGCCAGCCGCACTGGGGAACCTGCCCCCAAAAAAGAACCCACGTGGTTACTAAGTATCTCTTATACCCCTTCTCATCACTCTGTGCAAAGAAATTGTTGATTAAATGAATTCTAAATTTGGTAGAAGGTAAGGTGTGGGCAGGTTTTATGACCATAAATGTAACAGGAGCCCCCACCACGTGCCAGCCTGTTAAATACATTGTCCTCCCAACTCCCCCACAAAGTAGCCCAGAGTTTAAGGTTACAATAGGCTTGGGCAATCAGTGGCCTGGAGGAAAGTCTTCAGTTCTGCTACTGGTGATCGGGAAATCTTCACTTCCCTGAGCCCCCAGTGTGACATGAAGGTATGAACAGTGTCGCTTTTTTCATAAGCTGGTCCCCCAAATTAACTGAGAAATGCACGTAAAGACGTTAACATACTGCCAGGAACACGACAAACACTTGGTAGCGTTAACTATTTTATTTTTGTACTATCATCTCCACTTTGTGCAAAGGGAAACCGAGGCCACACAGGTATTGAAGGACCCAGGATTCAGACCCATATCTGACCCCCAAAGCCTGCCGCTTCTTTAAAGATGAGTGAAATCACTTTCAGAAAGATTAAGGAATACACCGAGTAGTACCGAAGACATTACAGGGCCCCAGTTCTTTAGGGCCATTTGGTGTTCTTAGGAATAGAAAGTAAATAAAAACTTGGCCTCTTTCTTTGCCCTCAGATCCAGGCAGAGATTTCAGAAGAACCAGGCTCCTCTACTCACAGAGGGACAGACGGGTTGGGACACCCTAGTATGGTACCGCTTCTGTTGAGTTTAGTTTCTGCACAAAAGTCTCCAAATCTGGTGTTAGGAGATCATACAGAAGATCCCTTATTAATTCATGACATAAACTGTTCATTCTTCAATTTAGCACGAATGGAAGCCTGGTGGTGAGAAGTACTTCCCCATACTTCAAAAGGTTCATCCCCTCCCCACCCAGAGCCCATGCTCTATTCACACAAGTGCAACCAATAATCACCTAGCAAGAAAGGGCATGTCTAGAATTCTTGAAAAGCAGGAAAAGTGGTTTTAAAACCCAGCACATTGTTGTCTGTACAGATCAGAGTGGAAATGATAACTGTTTCAGAAAACAAAACACCCGGTGCTATGGACAATCACAGCAGCATTTTTTTTTTTTTTTTTTTTTTGGAAAAAGGATGGAAAAGTACATGTCAAGAAAAAAGCTATTATAAGAATGAGGCAGGGGCGCCTGGGGGGCTCACTTGGTTAAGCGCCCCACTCTTGGTTTCAGCTCAGGTCATGTCTCGTGGTTCGTTGGTTTGAGCCCTGCCTTGAGCTCTGCGCAGCCAGTGCGGAGCCTGCTTGGGATTCTCTCTCTCTCCTCTCTTTCTGTCCCTTCCCTGGTTGCTCTCTCTCTCAAAATAAATAAATAAACTTAAAAAAACAATAATAATAAAAGAACGAGGCAACTCTCTGGACACTGATATAGATTCTCCAAGGTAGATTATTAAGTTAAAAAAAAAAGTAAGGAACACTGTGCACTGTGTTAACATTTGTGTGTGTTTTTAAGAATATATTTACATATATGCTTGCATATATATATCTTGAACCTCTGAAAAGTTACACAACAAACTGATTGCCTTTGTCGAGGGGATTCATAGGCAGAAGACAGAGGAAGCAAGGATCCTGATTGCCCTTCCTTCTCTTGACACACTCCTGCAAGCTCCCTACAGCCATTCATCTGCTTCTTGTCATCATAAGTTAGTTTAGGGATGCCTGGGTGATTCAGCTGGTTACGGGTCTGACTCTTGATTTTGGCTCAGGTCATGATCTCACAGTTCCTAAGTTAGAGCCCCATGTCAGGCTGTGTGCTGACAGCATGGAGTCCGCTTGGGATTCTCTCTCTCCCTCTCTCTCTCTGCCCTTCCTCTGCTCTCTCGCTCTCTCTCTCAAAAATAAATAAACAGACTTAAAAAATAGTTTACATCTTCTAGAATTTTACATAAATGGACTCATATAGCAATCTGACAGAGGGTTTCCAGACATTGTTTTAATCCAGAGACTAACTGAGAGGTGTCTCTACCTTTCACAGTACTCTCTTCTAGAAATGGACAATCTGTTGAGATATTCCTTATCTCTAGGCTGCTTTGGTTGCAATTTTTAAAAATAACATTTACATTAGAAAAGAAATATGTGCTCATTATAGGAAGTTTTGAAAAATGTATTAAACAAAAAAAAAGAAAAGAAAAGAAAAAAAATTACCCCTCATCCCATTACCCAGCATCCCCAGAGGTCGTGAACTTTGGAGTTTTGGGGTCACCCCCAATATCTGTTTCTAGGAGAGTATGCACAAACTATGTCCTGTTCTCTGAAAGCAACTATCAGAGGTTGAAATGTGGAGCTTCTACCAAAGTCAAGTTCACTTTACCTCTTAATAGGATGGCCAAGGACTCTGTTCTTAAAAGATGGCAGAACCACAGACCTTTTTCAAAATGTCCTTTCTTTATGATTCTCTATTATGTCTATCTGTACTCAACTTTGTCCTAGCTAATACCTCTGATTAACCAAGTTATTACTTCATTAATACATATGATACATATTTTATATCTATAGATAGATATATAGATATGTAAAATATAATGTATTAAAAAATACATGAAGCTGTTCACCTTAGTATTATTTAAACTAGGAAAACGGGAAATAACTCAATCAAAGCAATTAAAAATACTCATGAATAGGCATTCATATGAGGGAATATTGACCAAAAAGTAAAAAAGTAGTGTTTATAGAAAAGACTATGTAATATAATAGGAAAATCTATATTTAAAAATGAGTAAAAAAAGTAGAATACCACTCTGCATAATAGTTGTTAATGCAATCACATAAACAGATATTAGGGGGAAATTTGAGAAAATCCACAAAAATATAGCAATAGACTCTTTGGTGATTTTTTTCTCATTTTGTTTAATAAATTGTTATAAGTAACAGTATTCCTTTAAAAAATAAAAGACACTAATGTAGAAGTAAATATGCTCTCACTGGTTTCTTTCTTTCTTTCTTTCTTTCTTTCTTTCTTTCTTTCTTTCTTTCTTTCTTTCTTACCTTTGGAACTATTATCACAATTTTCCCTGTGGTTCCTGAATATCGCTAACTGTATCTGGCTTGGGACAGCTAGTCATCCAAAATAGGTTAGTTCTGTCACTGCCTGGAGACTGGAGGTAAAGTAGCAAGATAACACCCAATGCCCCTTATTAGTTGTGTGACCTTGACCAACTTACTTAACCTCTGGGTAGCTCAATTTCTTCATCCATAATGAGGACAGTAATAGATCCAAAAATAAGATATAAATGTTAGGTTCTTAGAATAATACCTAGCATCATGGTCAGAGCCCCTTAAACGTTAGTTTCTCTGATGAGGAGGAGACCACAATGACCAATCTCTGCTAGTGGGCAGCTTATAAAGGCATCGGAACTTAAATACTCATTCTGCCATTTAGTATCTGTCTGATTCTCAATTTCTCATCTTTCAAAGATGAATAATAGTATCCCAAAGAGCTCCTGTCCAGTGAGATAAAAGTATGTAAAACATCTAGCACAAATCTTTGCACATGGATTTAGTATGTTTTATCTTTCTTTCTCCTCTGATTCTTTCCTCAAGCAGCATAAGGTTGACCTCCAGTTGCTACTTAGAAGCCCTGCATTGTAGGTTGGATGAAAATCCAACATCTCCAGCAGAGGGCGATGTCTTCACACTCCATGCTGTCTAGACCAGCGCTACTCAAAAGTGTTAAGACAACCAAGTATGGCATTTACTTTCTTTTTTTTTTTTAATTTTTTAATGTTTATTTGTATTTGAGAGAGACAGAGACAGAGCGCGAGCGGGGGAGAGGCAGAGAGACGACAGAGACAGAATCTGAAGCAGGCTCCAGGCTCTGAGCTGTCAGCACAGAGCCTGACCCGGGGCTCGAACTCACAAGATCCCGACCTGAGCTGAAGTCCCACGCTTAACCACCTGAGCCACCCAGGTGCCCCACATATGGAATTTTCAATGTTAAAGCAGCTATATTTTTAAAAGTAGAAAGAAACAAGTGACACTAATTTCAATACATTTCATTTAACCAATGTATTCAGATATTTCCATTTAACATATAAACAATATAAAAGTTATTAACGAATATTTTACGTTTTTCTTTTCATGTAAGTCCAGGTGCATATTTTTGCACTACCAGCACATTTCAGTTTGGATTCGCCCCATTTCAAGTTCTCAGGGGCCTTCATTTTGGACAGTGTAGGTATAGGCATTCTCCTTCACATGCAGCTAATGTGCTAACTACCAAGCTGAGGGAATGTTTGCATAGATAGGAAGTTAAACAGAAAACTAAAACTAAAACTTTATGAGGAAGCATCCAGGCGAAAGACCCTATCTTTTCACTGGCATAATACAGCTTTGGTAAACTCATGAAAACAAATTCTAAAATACAAAACTCCCCCCCACCAGAATTCAGAGTCTCAGCTTTTAAAATTTATAGAGGGGCTTCTTGAGGTGCCTGGCTAACTCAGTGGGTAGAACACATGGCTTCTGATCTCAGGGTTGTAAGTTCGGGCCACACGTTGGATGTAGGGATTACTTTAAAATAAAAAAAGAAGAGTGGTTTCTTTGAGGGAGGTTGATAAATATGTTCTAAAATTGACTATGATGGTAGTTGCATATATCTGTAAATATAATTTAAAAACTTTGAATGGTACACTTTAAATGGATGAACTGTATAGTATGTGAGTGCTATTTCAATAAAGCTGTTTAAAAACTTATAAAGAAATCAAAGGTAGAAGTCACCTCCCAGAAAAGTTTGTCTAATTAGGGACTGATAATTTTCAGTTGGATTAAAATAAAGAACTATATAAAGACACAGTGTTCCTGACATATCTATTGAAGGGTGTTGGCAGGATGTGAATCCAACAGTTCAAGCCCCGATGTTGTGGGAATATCCTGACTCTTATCTTGCTTGGGAGAAATGCCTTATCATGACTGATTACTGTAATTGAAAAAAATGAAAGAGAGAATGCTAGTGGACACAAGGGTTATCTTCCTCAAAGTCCCCACCTACTGGATCTGCTGGTGAATTTTGTGGTGGATTCCAGGGAAAAGAATAGTAAATTACTTAGAATCCTTTTCCTCACGGCTCCCCACTCCCACATACACACAGAGTCACTAGTTCCGCTTTACCAAAATGCTTTCTGTGGATGAACGTTACCCCAGTAATCTCCCTGCATCTTTTTATATGGTAGTACCTACCAATTTTTCCCCAACATCATAATTTGCCAGTTTCCTATTCTTAATGGAGATCTGCTGCAGGTGTGTTAGAGAAACCTAAGCAGAAACTGCCATGTGGAGGGTTTAAAAAAAAAAAAAAAAAAAGACTGTTTTGTTCATTGTTTTGGTAGTATGGAAACAGACCTCACTAGGAGCTGCTTCCTACGAGACAATCAATTCCACAAAATAGATAAGGTTCCCCCACTCTTGCACGGTTTGACAAGCTGTAAATGCTCCAAGTTTACTTTCAATTTCTCCCTCTCTATACCTCAGTTCGCTGGTAAACTTAATAGCAAGTTTACTATAGTCAAAACAAGGTTTTTTGTTTTAAATAAAGAAAATCTCGAGGCACCTGTCCGGCCTAGTCAGTAGAATACCTGACTCTTGATCTCAGGGTTGTAAGTTCAAGTCCCTCATTGGGTGTAGCGATTACTTAAAAATAAAAACTTTTTTTAAATAAAAACTTTAAAAAGAGAGAAGAGAAGAGAAGAGAAGAGAAGAGAAGAGAAGAGAAGAGAAGAGAAGAGAAGAGAAGGGAGGGGAAATTTTCTACCTACAAGACAGTCAAGTTGCAGTAGAAAGTTAACTCTGACCTTGAAATCAGATGGCTGTTTCTGGCCCGAGGCAAGTCTCAAATATTTTGCAATTGGTTAGTCTAAAGAGCAAACGAGCTTTCTTTTCTATAAAGTGGTGTTAATTCCTCTTCACAGGAAATGTGATGATCATTTACTAGAGAATGGGCATGAAATCACTTTACAGTCAAACAACAGCACACACGGGTAGAATCAGTATCTACTATAACCTAAGAGTGTGGAGTGAACACATGATCTGGCCACAACTGCTCATGGATTTTCCATTTTCTCTCTTTGTGAGCATCTTTTAAAAAGAGGGGCAGGGCGCCTGGGTGGCTCAGCAGTTAAGTGTCCAGCTCTTGATTTCAGCTTGGGTCAGCTTGGGTTTGTGAGATGGAGCCCCACCGAATATGGAGTCTGCTTGAGATTCCCTCTCTCCCTCTCTCTCTGCCCCTCCTGCCCCACTCTTTGTCTCAAAATAAATAAATAAACATGAAAAAAAATTGAAAGAGGGGCAATACAAGAGTTTAGGATTCACAGACTTTATCAATAATCAATAATCCCCTGGAGAGCTACATTAAATTGATAGCCACCTGGGTCTCCCATGCATTGCCAAATATCCATTTCTTTGTACCTGATAGACAAGATTTTACATCATGTCTTTACTTGGGTTTAACTCATAATAACTGATAGGGACTGAAGTGTGTCCCCTCAATTTGTATGTTGAAGCCCTAACTCTCAATGCCTCAGAATGGGATTGAATTTGGAGACAGGAACTAAGAAGAGGTAATTAAGGTCAAATGAGGTCATATGGATATACCCTAATCCAGGATGGCTGGTGTCCTTATACGCCAAGGAGATGAGGACACAGACTCACACAGAGGAAGGACCATGTGAAGACACAGAGAGACAGGCATCTACGAGGCAAGGAGAGAGAGGCTTTGGAAAGAAACCCCACTGACATCTTCATCGTTGCTAGAAAAGCCTCCAGCCCAGGGTACTGTGCAGCCTTAGCAAACTAACAGAGTAATCCAAGATGTTTTGAGTATGTTCAGTAAAAGCAAGCCAAAAGCCTAGTTAATTTGATCAGTTCAGTCAAACCTGTGGTTTGAGTAAATGTTTTTTGAAAGATGGGGGCGAAATGCCGTCGAATCACATCTGACATCACGTGGATGTATGGTGAAACCGTACATTGCAGCCCTGAGCCTGTCATCGCTGACACACGCAGCCTCGGGTGGGCCTCTATTCCCCTTCCTATTCAGATGTGGGCACAAACCCTTCATTCCAACATCAAGTGCACTTCTCCTTTGGAAATACCCTAGTTTTTCAGTGCATTCATTCTCTCTTTCTTGGTTCCTTTTCCAACAAAGAGCTAAACCTACCAGGGTTAAATGCTAGTACTTTGTACAATTTCATAATGGTTTCTTCACTTCTTTCTGGTGAATACCTACTACATAAGGAACATTTTTGCTTTCATTCTAGTTTTACCTGCTGAATCTTAGTGGGGAATGTGACATTTGCGGGAAACTCTGAATATGTAAAGACTGACTTAGCTCTTGCAGGGTAGACCCCTCCTCACCCCCCACCAACTGGTCACTTAGATCTGTGCTACAAATATAGACCTTGTTACTCTGGGTCTTGTCACAACACATTAGGGAATTACTTCAACAGGCTGAAGATTTTCCCTAAAAGACCCAAGCCTGTTCCCTACAATCAATAATGTTTTATACTTTAAAAAGTAAACAGTTTGGTAAAAAAGTTTCAGCAACATCGCTTGCTGTTAACTTTCTTCAATAAATGCATAACAAGAAGAAAATAATTTTATAAATTTCCAGTACATGATGAATGTATCTGAGATTCCCTGTATGATTTGATTTCCACCAAAAGTAAAAACATGACCACGAGCTTCACTTTGAAGAAACAAATCCAGGACAGGTATGTCACTAGGAGTCAGTATTTCCTGTACAATTTGGGGAACCTTAAATGTTCATAAATTCTCTCATCTGTTTATCAGGTAGTGACCTTCTGCCTTGTTTAGACATGATCCCTTATTTACCAAAGGAGAAGAAATTGTATCTTTCTTACAAACTGTTCATTTCTGTTTCCTTAATCATTAAGACTTTAAGTTGTTTCAGTCTGACTAAACAACCCTGAATGATAGAGAAGTCTAACAAGAAATTTCCAAATGTAATGTCTCTGAGCAATAGCACAAACACTAAAATTCTTTGGCCTCTTTTTAAAGTCTGAGAGGGTTTGTACTATGTCTAACCATAATTGAATTTTCACTAAGAACCAAGTTTTTTTTTAAAGAAAAGAAAAACAGGCAAATTTACTCAGAGTTTTACAAATATATCATTTCCCACTGTTAGAGTAATTATGACGCCACCATAATATATGAAAACTTGGGACTGATAGAAACCCTTAGGGACAGGCACTCGACGATGCCACCTTCTCCAACAGACACGTGGATCATTTTCTATATTACTTTCTTGAACTTTTAAAGGTTTATAAACTAGGGGCGCCTGCATGGCTCCGTCAGTTAAGCATCGGACACTTGATCTCGACTCAGGTCACGATCTCAGGGTTCGCGGGATGGAGCCTCGCATGGGGCTCTGCGCTGACAGTGCGGAGCCTGCTTGGGATTCTCTCTCCTTCTGTCTCTTTCTGCCTCTCTCTCAATAAAATAAAACATACATAAAAAAATAAAAGGTTATGAACTATACCTTTTCATCCAAAAATAAAGGAGCACGTTTCAATCATTGTGAGAGCTTACGAGGCCACACCTGCCTCAGAATTTCAGTCTTCTTGGTACCAAACTTAACCACACTCACACTGAGGAGTTTAGCCACCCCAGATCTTTTTCCCTTGCATTCTTTCTCCCACAGTACATTCTGTACCTTAAAGTGAATATAATCATTTGTGGGAACCCTGGTGCTTACAAAGATTATGGGGGTTCGCGGGGTGGGCAAGATTCCTGAGTCTTACCTTGAACCGAAGCATCAAAAACCAGGAGGAAGGCAAGAGCCAGGATAAACGTCCTGCCCTGGAGCAGCTGTGGCATCGTGACCAGCTCGCTTCGGTCTCACTGCCTGCGCACCGGCTTCACGATTAGGAAATGTAGCAGGGTGCACTCTGTCCCTTTTAGAAAAAGTTCCAAAACCTCAAACCCTGCCCAGAACACACGTCACAATTTCCTGAACAAATAGAAAGAGATCCACATCAAAACCCAGCAAGATAAAAAAAAAAAAAAGACAGCAAAATACCTATTCATACCCGTTATGAAACTGCACTGAACTCTCCCCAAGTCTGCTTTTTCGAAAGTTTTGTTGTTCGCCACTTGTCTGTTAGAAATTGTTTCCCCACTGAGACAGTAGAATCAGCGTTCAGTGCAGTCTGTTTTTCCTCTCCTCAATTAGCAAGCTGAGCACAAGATTTTTAACATAAAGGGTCCCCCCTGCTCTGCGGATGAGGGGGAGCGGGGCCCTGCCTTTTCCTACTGAGGACCTTCGACATCAAATGTGAATTTTCCTTTTCATCGGGACTGGCACAACTCACTGGGTCAAGCTCAAGAGGTACAAGTTCAAAGCTGAGCTCTCCTCTATGAAAAAAGTGTTCTCAGGTTTCAGAGAACAGGTTTCTTATTGGACTCTGTTGCTTCCATTGCCTCGATCCCTGGTTCTCCTTCCTCCTCCAGAAAGGAGTGAGGATTTCCGGTTACCAAGAACTTGGGCAAAAAGACTTCGTATTTCTCTGCCCCTTCACACCAAGTATTCCTCACGATGCAATTCCATGTATGCTTTTATCTGTCCTCCTGGTAAAAGTCTCCACCTTGAATTCTGGGTCCTCTGGCCTTGAACGAGCCGGGAATCAGAAACAAGGTGCGTGGTCCGCCCAGGGGCTGCTGGAGCTCAGGGGACACACAGCCGCGCTCCCCGCACCCCCCACCCGTGACCAAAGGAGTGGCTGTTTCCTGGGTCCTGAGGATCGTGCAGAGACTCTAGAGGACTAAGGAACCCGGGCAGCGGCTCCACATTAAAGTCGCAGGATAAACACAACAGTCGAACACGTGTTCTTGCCTGGGGGCACACACCGTTTCCTTCTTTCAAGGGTCAACCACTCTCCATTTCCACAGGCCTATCCCTGCACCCCCCACTTTCCATTTTCACCCTCACTGTGGTCTGTCCTTTGACAGGCGGGAGGGGTTTCCCTCTCTTGTTTTCAGCTTCCTGCTGATTCCTTTACCATTTCCTGCTAAGGACAGGCTCGGAATCTAATCGCTGGGTAGCTGTGCTGCAAGTCCACGGGGCCATGAAGAATGCACATCTCGATGGGTCTCAGAACCATCTGGAAGTGTGGCCAAGGACTCCTCTTTCGCTGTAACCAACCCCAAACTCAAACCCAGTGAGTTCCTTACTATGGCATAGTAGTTTCAGCTTGAAATAACAGCCCTCATCTTTGGTCCCTTCTAACCCTATCCCCCAGTTTAAAGCCTCGGCACCAAAACAATAGCCCCTGTCAAGAGCTCCCGTAAGCCCTGCGAAACCTCAGAACTGCTTAGAGCTCGTGCTTGAAAATGGTCATTTTGGAGGCCTTTTTCTTTTGGGTACTTCATTTTTTTCCTTCTCTGGCTCATAGCGATTTTTTTTTTTTTAATGGTGCAGCATTCTCAACCACTTGCTCTTTTCTCGCTACACTGACTGACCAACGTTTCTTTTCCCAAATAGCCTTCCCCCCGTTTCATTTCCTAGTCTTCGTCAAGCTGCAGAGGAGCAGGACCAAGGCATGTGGCGTCCGGAAGTCCTAGGTCCTAACCTGACTCCCTCACTTAGCAGCTGAGAGCTGCAGGGCCACCTGCTCTGGTTCTGACGACGGTGAGGGAAACCAAAGAGAGGGCGCACGGGAAGCTCACTGCGCATGCGAAGGGGGGTGCGTGAGAAGCGCCCCTCCGGACTGCGCACCTACCATCTTCTTGCCCAAAATTTCCTCCACTAACCGAAGAGGATCTTTATCTGTCCCTAAACCTTACCCTCTACAATAAGCCTGTTCTCGATAATTTTAAAAGCCAAATTCTGTTCTGGACTCCATCCTTCACTTACCAGGCAACCTTAAATGCATCCCCTTTACTTCACGCTCAAGTGATTTGCCTGCAAAGTGGGTGTCCTCATTCCTTAATAATCGCTGTGGAACAGGACACAAACCAGTTCCACATCTAAAAAGTAATGTACCCTGCCTCCTCCCCCCTTCACATAAACATGGCTTTTCACTGGGGCGCCTGGGTGGCTCAGTCCGTTAAGCATCTGACTTTGGCTCAGGTCAGGATCTTGAGGCTCGTGGGTTCAAGCCCCACGTTGGGCTCTGCGCTGACAGCTCTGAGCCTGGAGCCCGCTTCAGATTTTGTGTCTCCCTCTATCTCTGCCCCTCCCCTACTCATACTCTTTTTCTCTCTCTCAAAAATAAAGAAATAGTTAAAAAACAACAACAAGGCTTTCTACTAGCTATTGGTTTCAGGGTGGTCTTTTTAAAAGTGGATCTGTTTGGGGGCAACTGAGTTGCTCAGTTGGTTAAACAACTGACTTTTTAAAAAATTTTATGTATTCATTCATTCATTTATTTATTTATTTTTAAATTTACATCCAAGTTAGTTGGCATATTGTGCAATAATGATTTCAGGAGTAGATTCCAGTGATTCACCCCCTATGTATCACACCCAGTGCTCATCCCAACAAGTGTCTTCCTTCATGTCCTATTTAGTCCATCCCCCGACCCACAACCCCTCCAGCAACCCTCAGTTTGGTCTCTATATTTAAGAGTATATTATGTTTTGTCCTCCTCCCTGTTTTTATATTATTTTCTTCCCTTATGTTCATCTATTTTGTATCTTAAACTCCACATATGAGTGAAGTCATAGATTTGTCTTTCTCTGACTTATTTCGCTTAGCATAATATCCTCTAGTTCCATCCACGGTGTTGAAAGTAGCAAGATTTCATTCTTTCTGACTGCTGAGTAATACTCCATTGTATATATATACCCCATCTCCTTTATCCATTCATCCGTCAATGGACATTTGGGCTCTTTCCATACTTTGGTTATTGTCAATAATGCAGCTATAAACATTGGGGTGCATGTGCCCCTTTGAAACAGCACACCTGTATCCCTTGGATAAATACCTAGTAGTGCAATTGTTGGATCATAAAGTAGTTCTATTTTTAACTTTTTGAGGAACCTCCATACTGTTTTCCAGAGTGGCTGCACCAGTTTACATTCCCACCAGCAGTGCAAAAGGGTTCCTCTTTCTCTGCTTCCTCGCCAACATCTGTTGTTGCCTGAGTCGTTAATGTTGATCCTTCTGGCAGGAATGAGGTGGTATCTTGTCATGGTTTTGATTTGTATTTCCCTGATGATGAGTGATGTTGAGCATTTTTTCATGTATCTGTGAGCCATCTGGACATCTTCTTTGGAAAAGTGTCCATTCATCTCTTTTGCCCATTTCTTCACTGCATTATTTGGTTTTTGGCTGTTAAACTTGACAAGTTCTTTAGAAACTGACTCTTGATTTTGGCTCAGGTCATGATGAGCTTCAGCCCCAGGTTGGGCTTTGCAGTGAGCATGGAGTCTACTTGGAATACTGTCTTCCTCTCTCTCTGTCCATCCTCCTCTCTCTCTCTCTCAAAATAACCTTTTTTGGGAAAAAAAAAAAAAACAAGCCGATCTGTTCAGAGTGGTTGAGATGTCCCTGCATCACAACTTAGCAGAACACTTAAGATGAGCTGAGGTTGTCAGAAGAGATACTGAGGGAAGCACAAAACTGCTCTGAGGAACAGCTTCAAGACTCATTTCTTTTTTCAAGCTTGAAGTTGAAGATTCTGCCATCAGCAGCCTCGAGGACTTCCTTGGCTCTTCAGTGAGGAGGCCTTGACTTTACATTGGGCACTGCACCAAAAAAACAAATAGCAAATAGACCCTGTACCAAATCTGTGTCTCAAGAGTCTCATTAGGTGGCGCTTACATGAATGCTTGATTTCTAGAATGGGAAGAGACCTTAGAAACTATCTACTTCACCCAATCATGTGGGCGAAGTGCAAGTCCAGAAAGATACATGTCTTGCTGTTGGTCATATAGCTGGTGATTGGCAAAAGCAGGTCTGGAACTCAAGTTTTCTAGTTCAAAGTCAGTGATGGACAAGGATTAAGATTGCTAAATCATCAGGTCTTCCTTTCAGTTTTTTGGGTTTTTTTGGTTTTTTTAGAGGTGCATACTGAAGTATTTCTGTTGGGAATGATAAAATGGTTGCGATTTGCTTCTAACTAATCCAGTTTGAAGTGCGGGACAAGAAAGGGATAGCTGGATTGCTGAAACTGAGCAATGAGAAAGTAGAGGTCCTTTGAACTAGTCTCCCTACCTTTTTTTTTTTTTAAGTTTATTTATTTATTTTGAGAGAGACAGAGACTCGGGAGGTGCAGAGAAAGAGAATCCCAAGCAGGATCTGCACTATCAGCGCAGAGCCTGATGTGGGGCCTGAACTCATGAACCGTGAGGTCATGACTTGAGCCGAAACCAAAAGTCGGACGCTTAACTAAGTCATGCAGGCATTACTTCTTGGAATTATTTTCACAAGGAGCTAAAATGTTGGAAACAAATCTTTTAGGGGAAATTTCAAACAAAAGGGACTAGGAGTCATAATCTCATGGTTAGTGGGCTCGAGCCCCGCCTCGGGCTCTGTGCCGACAGCTAGCTCAGAGCCTGGAGCCTGTTTCACATTCTGTGTCTTCCTCTCTCTCTGACCCTCCCCTGCTCATGCTGTCTCTCTCTGTCAGAAATAGATAAAAAACATTTTGAAAAAGTGATAAATGCTTACTATAAATGCAGTTGGGGCATAGCAATGGGTGGGGGAACTAAAAAGAAAGGACAAATCCCTTGTCACCTTCCATCCAAAGATTACAACTCTCCTGCTCTGCCTTTGGTGACTCACAGTGGCATAGAACACTCACTAAAGCGCTGGGTTCTCACTCATCTCTCCTTATTGCCATTATTTTACACCCTACGTTATGGAACCACCTAGACCCATTGGTGTCTTCAAATCTAACTTAGTTGTCAATTCCAGCCAACCCCATACCCATCCATCAATTCA